ATTGGTGTTTTGGCTGGTTTGGCTCCCAAATCATTAACTTCAAATTCTGTCTAATGACTTTTTTAGCCCCTGTATCATTGGCGTAGCATCTACTGTGAGGACTATGTCATCAACAGACTATTAAGACTGACAATTTAGTTCCAATATGTTTAACCAAAAAAGTGTATGAATAGCTTGACATTATATATATCCCAACCTCTTTACCACTCTTGTAAGCCCTTCAAACCAAGCCCTGGGTGATCGCTTTAACCCATAAGATTGATTTGTACAATTTACAAGCTATACCTAGAATACCATATTCTGAGGGGCCTTGAGGAACTTCCACGTAAACTTTTTCTAGGTCATCATTAAGAATGGCATTTTTCATGTCTAGCTGATAGATGTACTGTGGGAATATTCTATATTTATTGTAAATACTTGTTATTACTGTATAGCCTTTATTATTATTCATTAGGATTTAATAAGCGTTGTTCTCTGATTTCTTAGGCTTTACTCTCCTCCAATGTATAAATAGGTCAATTGTATCCTAGTATTCCATGGAATGCATGTGAAGACATCATTTTCTCTCCAATATTCTGCATGGACTGATCTCAGTTTGTAGCTAGGGATAAGAGCAACCTTTTTGTGTTCAGCTTTACCATGGGGCAAAAGTTTCTTGGCAGTCAGCGCTATGTGTTTGTGACTACCCGTTTGCCACCAATCAAGCTATGTACCTACTAATTTTTCCATCTGGGTTATATTCAATTGTGAAAACCCATTTTACATCTCACTGGTTTCTTGCCTTCTGGTGACTTAGTGATTTGCCATGTTTGAATTTTTGGAGTAAGACTTGCTAAAATCGAAATCCCCCCTTCCTGAATCTGTCCGCCATGGCTCATTGAGTAAACTTGGTTAATGTTAATGGCATTACTTATCTTCCACCACCATTATGCTACCTGCAGAATTTATCTCCCTGCTAAAGACGCCCAACTGCCAGTGTTGGAGAGCCTAGTGAAGAAGCTTGAAGATAGATGAAGGAAGTCCAGTGTGAAAACTTCCCATTAGGCAATGTGGCAGCATTGGCTTCTCTAAAGGCTTATTTAATCTAGTCGACAACTGCTCCTTGATCTAGGGAACTAGTTAGTTTCCATGCTCCTTATGCTTCCCCATCCCCATCATGGCTTCCTCCAAAATAATCTAATCTCTTTAACCTTCTTCATCTTCATCTCTTTCTTATATTTGTTGTCTTCTTCACTTTTGTTGTCAAATTTACCTTCTTGCAGCATCTTGCTATTCGTGTTTCAGATTTGGCTGATAAATGAAAAGTAAATTTTTGATACGCTGTTCATTACAAGCAATGACATCACCAAAGCCAAATCAGCCATTCCTGCTTTCATCTTAATCACAAATTGCTTCAGCTCATTGATGTCCAAGAATTCCCCTCCAATTGCACGAAATCTCCGTGGACCATTGCCCTGTGGAGCTCCATCTTCTACTCAAGATCTTCAAGGCATTTGGGCGGTCAAGTTTTTAGCACTAACCTTTGGATATAATTTCTGTTGATGTTGGGTGGCCAGAAAACCAGCTGTGACACCATTGACAGGAGGAAAGAGGGAAAAGTACAGAAAACATGATTCCAAAGACGCCTATAACAATGCCATATTTCTATTTATACTAATGGGTAGGTATTGTAAGTAGCTAACCTCGTCTTCCCAACTAACTAATATCATTCAAGAGAAAATTTTACCGAAGTGCAAGTCTTAAGTGGGAAGAAGCTACAATTCTGGGATTACAAAGCGAAAACAGAACACTCAAGCATACCACTCCTTTGCTTTCAAGAGGTGTAGATTCTCCCAACAACCTTAGACATGTCTAGCCTTCTTTGTTTTGCTCTCCATGCTATATTCTACTCTCTTTCATCTGTAACTAACTAAACTCAATTCCCTATTATACCCCTTGATGCTTAGCTGGCCTAACTCCTTGAAGGATTTTTTCTCACATAAGAAAAGGACCATGTCTAGCTGTCTTATTTTTTCTATTAAAAACTAATGACATGGTTTCATTCACATTTATTCGTAATGCTCTGAATCAGATCTGTAATAAGGTGTTTGTTTGTCAAAATAACGTTGAACTTTATTGTTGCAGTTGCTGACATTTTGTTGTGGAGAGACGAAACGACATCCTTTACATATTTCCTTGCACTGGTTATATTGTTTCATTGGTTTTTCCTTTCTGGAAGGACTTTTACGTCATCTGCCGCCAGACTTTTGCTTTTTTCAACTGTCATTCTCTATGGATATGGAATCCTACCATCAAATCTGTAAGTACATGCTTACGAAGACTGAGATCTTATTTGTATGTCAATTTAAAAAGTTTTATGTTTGCAAGACCCTGACCATACATTTTTGCCAACTAAAGCCTGCCTCGTGCTGCAATTAGCAGTTTTTCTCCTTTCTGGTGTGCTGGTTCTGGTCTCTCTTTAATAACGATTATATGGTCTAAGTGCATTAATCATTTCATCTTAGCCATAGGACCTTATATGAACTTTTGAAAATTGTGCTGGGGATTTTTACCTTGGTAACTTCAACCCCGTAGGACATTAAGAAAGGAAATCGTTGTCTAAGCACTAATTATAGTGTGCTTAATGACAGATTTGGTTTCCCTATTCAAAGAACGTGTCTCTCTAGTTTTGAGATCTCGGAGAAAGAGGTGAAAGATTCAGTTGCAACAACAGTGTACTTGTGGAACATTGGTTGTCGGAACATTAAAATATTGGCTCGAGGAAGTGATTGGTCTATGTTCTTCAAGGTACAAGATGTGACTTTCTTTATAAAATTAAAGATCCTCGTTCCTCTGACTGAACAATTTTCCCCCCAAAATTTATGATGTAAGCAACCTGTGTTTTTATTGATATTGAGAATGAGATTGCCTTTTTTGTTTGTTTTTTTCCCCCATGATATCTTGGACAAATACTTGGTTTTGGATTGGTTTTCTGAATTCAAAGCTTTTTGACACACAAAATGGGGATATCTCATAAAGTGGTGGGCCAAACCACAGGCTATAGAAGTATGATTCAATCACCAAAACAGCTCCACCGCAATGGAGAATTGCAGAAATCACTACCTAAACGATACCACTCTGCACATTCGAGAGGCACAGAACTCTCCTACACAACTCTTAGCTTTTCCATGCCTGACCCACATAGCCCACCCAGCGAATATACTCACCCCTTTCCGTAAGTAACTCTTAGGAATACCCAAAATTACCCTTGTCACATAAAAATCACTACACATTCGAACTGGGCTTCTTCTGCCTGACATATCTCAGCTTGGGCCCGCGCTCAACAGCCAGAAACAGTGATTTATACGAGAATGGGACGCTATGATAGAGGTTTCTCTTCTTTGGAGGCTTTGCCTTTACTTCGCATTTCTTAAGTGATGCAGGTTGCAATTTCGCTCCTATTTCTGAAGCTGATCCTGTCACAGTTTTTGACGTCATCAATAGGAATAGGTATGGAATTGTAGTTTTGCTGCTGAAGAACTTTCTGATGTGATTGCTTACTTTCATCTTTTCTCATTTTTGAACTGTTTTGCAGCTCTGGTCTTCGCATTTACAGCATTTTTTGTTTATGAGCAATATGAATCAGGAATTGATGGAACAGTAGGTGCTCTGTCCAACTGTTTAAAGAAATCAATGACATTTTTCACAACAAATTTACCTGATTCCATGTCACCGCTTGAGCATGACAGTGGGTGAGGACATGAAGGCTAAAAGGCGCTGAGATAGTCCGAATGAATTTCAGCTTAGTTGTTTGATATTTGTGATTTACCATGTACTATTATAATACATACTAGTGCTTATGCGGGGTTGCGTTTCTGAGAAAGGATGGGGAATGTCAAGACATTTGGATATATTTCCCCCGATTAATCACGCTAAGACTATTAATTAGGCCGAAGACGTTGCTGTTTGACATTTTTCTCTATCATGTATAACAAGTGAAATTTGAAGGAGTAGCTCAAATCAAGAGTCATTGTATCAATGTTGTTCCGTTAGGGGTGGTAACAAGCATAGGATGAGTCAAGGCTTGGATAATGCAGGCTAAGGTGTACTAGCCTATGGGAGGCCAAGAATTTATTTGGGTGAATGATACTTTAGTGACAAAAACCCAAATTTGAAGTTTTGAAAAAAGACTAAGGGTCATTGAGTGGGAACAGTTCAAATTTTAAATTACTTAAATGTTAATAGAATTCACTTCTCAAATAACTTGAAATCGGTTGTCTACAAATTTACACTCATCTTTCCGAATTTGCAACTTTTTAGAAAATAATACGCAATTGATCTCTCTCATTTAAAAATCGATCATTGGAAGTTTAACATGTAAATTGTTGTCCATGTTAGGTTAGCTCGATAATGGGCCAACACAGGTAAACGTAATCAAATTTTAGCGATTTTTTGGGACATTCTGATGTTTCATGATGATGATGAAGCAGCGCAAATTTGTGTTTTTTATAATTTTAAGAAAAATATAAAATTGTGTAGTTTTATTTTGTTGAAAAATCATTAAAAAAGTATTGCACCGTTTATCATTGTAATGTATGGAGATATTTCTTGTTTCGTGTAGAATTTAAGTGAAAAATGACGGAGAGATTGGGGTACCACAATGCTGGCAAAAGGAAAAAAAAGTTGGGGTATCGCAATAGGAACTAGGAGGATAGATTATTATAGACTATTGTCACGGGAATGGACTTGTTGATTTTTTTTTTCACATTTGTAATTTATAAAATCGTTTTAACTTGCACTTAAATTCATAGCAGTGACTTGTTGTGTGTGGATAAAAGCGGCTTATTTAGTTAAACTCGTCAAATTTAGTTGAATTTATAAATTGATTAAGTGGGTTTATCTTTTTGTGTTTTTAACTAGCGTGCAACCCTGCGCGATGCGTGGGACAAAATAACTTTACAATAATAATATGAAAAAAAAAATATGCACAAATTAATGTTTCATATCAAATGATGCACGACTCATTCCTCCCCTCTTCCCCCTACACTAAGATTCCTAAAAACCTCCCTATACACAACATTTGTGGTTGTCTTGACATGTTTGTCCATGTTATCATGCAACAAAATCTTTAGCCCATCCATTGACTTAACTCTTGAAAGAGCAACATATAGTTGATCGTGCGTAAAAATAGGCTTAGGCAGGTATAGGCCTACACATTGCCCCTGACTTTTATTTATAGTCATTGCAAATGATAATACAATTGGGAATTGTCTCCTATTCATTTGAAATGGAAGACGACTATCAGAAGGATTCATGTCCATGCGATGAATTAGAACCTTCTCACTTGGATTTGAACCATTCAACATTATTGATTCAATCACAGACTTCCCCAAATGTGTTATCCTCAATCTTGTCCCCTTGCATAATCCAGAGGCTTGATCAATATTTCTTAACAGCATAATAGGCACTCCAACTTTTAATGTCAACTTACGCATGGGCAAACCAGAGCTAGAAATGGTATTCAAGAACTCGGTTGTATGAAGGTTCTCAAATCCATCACTGTCTTGTGATGGTTTGCAAATTGAGTCGCTACTAAAATATTCAACAGAATCACCAGGAATCATAGAGCACATGAATTCATTCACCTGATTAACAACTTTAATTGTTGGGGATAGGATAGCCTTGTCATTAAAGTAATCATTGTTCGTCAAATTCTCCATCAAATCAGCATATGTAACAGACACAATGGCAACTATTGGATCAATGTAATTTTGCACCAACAAATCATGAGGTATTTCTATCTCGGCTATGCAATCATGGGCCATGCCTATCTTTCCGTCCCCAATATCTAGCACCCATTATGCAAATTTTTTCAACCGATTGCCATCTTCATTTGCTGATGTTGCTGACAATTGCATATTCTATGTCAACTCAAATATTTTGCAATAGTCCCATAGATAGGAAGAGCTAATACATGCATTAACAATGTCAGCTCACGAACCTTTAGGAATAACAAGAAGGATTTGGTGAAAGTCACCATCCATCAAAACACACTTGCCCCCAAATGGAAAATTGCAGTGCATAATGTCCCTCAATGTCCTGTCAAATGCTTCAATGCAATAATGCTGAACCATATGAGCTTCATCCCATATAATCAAAGTTGTGGATATGATTAAGTTCGCTAATGGTGAGTTTTGCTTGATGTTGCATATAGACTCTTCATTAACTTAAATTGGAATTGCAAATATTAAGTGAGCAGTCCTTCTCAATGGCAATAGTGTAGCAGCTGCCCCACTAGACGCAACTGTAAGAACAATGTCACCTCGAGAACGAAAAATTGTTGTCAAAGCATTTCACAAAAATGTTTTTCCTGTTCCTCCATACCCATAAACAAAGAAGAAAGCTCTGGATTTTGAAGATAATGAAGACATTACAATATCAAAAATGTTCTTCTGCTCTTCATTCAGTCATCTCACTAATTTCTTTGACTCTATTTCATAAGCACTACGATCATAATTCAACTCTTGCAAGATCAAGTAGTTTCTTACATCAATTTCAGGGAATGAAGTTGGTAAAACTGCTGATTTTATATTGAATTTAGCAAGTTAAACGTATATTGATTATAACTTAGTTTATATAGAAGGACCTGATCCAAAGGGAGAAAAAAACTAAAAGGCAAAAACTAATATTAATATAAAAATAAGAAATACTAAAAATGAGTTGTCTTTCTTAAAGTTATAAAATTATACTGCTTTTTATGTTCTTCTATTCTATTTTATCGCAACAATCTGTACACTCAACATAAAGAGTCTAACTTCATAGTCTTCTACTTTATTTTTCACATTCTAATATTTAATATTATTTTTAGTTTTTAATATAAAATTTAGTTTGTAATATAATTTTTGTGATATAGTATTTGAGATCCTAATGTAATCTCTTATCTAATAATAATTTTTTTTTAACTCAAAAACTTTACAAGTCACTTTGAAATTGAGAGAAATTTTTATAAGTCAAAAGTATTAACATTAAAACTTTCTTAATAAGTGTTTTTTTAAAGATTCCAACTTGTGAGGATGGCTTACCATCTCTTGTTGCTCTAATAACAATTTCTCTCTTTTTTCCGTGACAATAGCAACAATTTTTTTCGCCAACAATAACAACAGTTTCTCCATCCACAAAGCTGTTTTTGTCTTGTTTTTGAATGAATACACCAAGCTGTTTTTCTTTTTTTCCCCAGGAGGGAAAAAAAAGGAAGAGGGAGGAAAAGACCTAAACCAATGCACTGCCCCTGTTCGGCAGGTGTCCTATACCCTATGGTGCCAAAAATTTATATATAATATATTGACAATAGAATCAAGGGAGGGATACGCTGATCACTCGACTCTCGCAACAAAAATCCATTTCTTTCGTTTTGTTAGGGTTTCTGTAGGTTCGGCTGGTCCCAATAGTTTCTGGACTGCAATGCCTCTCCCGCCTAAATCGATCAAGGCTGCTCAGGAAGGCGGTGGCATGGTCAAGGATTTCGAAGATCCCGAGACCCCTTCCAACAATCTATGGGTTGGCAATTTATCGCACGAGGTTACAGAGTCCGATCTTATGGCTCTCTTCGCTCAATACGGCGCACTTGATAGCGTCACGTCGTATTCCTCTCGGAGTTACGGCTTCGTGTTTTTCAAGCGCATTGATGATGCCAAGGCTGCCAAGAACGCGTTACAAGGCACTCTTCTGCGCGGAATTCCCATGAAGATTGAGTTTGCGAGACCGGTTTGTTCTGATCTTTGTACTTGGTTAGGTTTGCATAATTTATGTTTCATCTTCTCTGCGGGTTCATGTATTGTTATCTACGCCTTTGCGGTAAAATTTCGCCCTTTCTATTGTACCAAAATAATTCGCGGCCAAACTTATCTAACTATATGCTCCAATCCTATACCCCGACCATTATCACTTCTAACTTTTCCTACGAGTTCTTTGAGGGAAGCGATTCAGCTGGGTGGATTCAAATTTATCATGCGAGGTGCGTTGGGCAAGGACCTAAGTTAATAATCAGGAGGAAAGCATTTTAAGTCGTTAGACGAAACAAACTTCCAATTTGTTGTTAATGGAGGAAACTCGAGTCCCGAATTCGACTTCTCAAAATTTTGTTATTCCAACGCAAGAGAAAGTGAATTGTTGTTTCTAAGGGAAAAGTTTTTAGTCGGGAGTTTCTATTGAAAAGAGTCGTAGATAAATCATTGCTGGACTTTTGCTCAATATTTTCTCACCTATGGTTGTCTAAGCAGTTTCATGGACGGCCTACCGTGGATCGTTCAAGTCATCGAATATGGTAAAATTAGGATTTTTCATCCTTTTCGCCGAAATAGGCATTCTAATTTGTTGGCTCATGTGATTGCCATAATTATTATCAACCTCAAACTTTTGTAAAGCAAAATTTAGAGAACGATAGATATTTACGTGCACACACACTGAAAGACACTGATTAGACCCTGAGCTAGGGTACATTCTTCAGTTGACTTGTGAAACAGCTGCATGGCTAAACATGTCGTCGATATTTGTCAGTTATGCACGTGATAGTAGTTTCCAACATCATCCATCTCCCTAATTAGGCGGTCTTTAAAATTTTACTTTGGCGAAAGAATTTGTCAGAAAGGTAACATGCTTTTGAAAGAAGTTAATGAAAGATAAGAAGAGAAATCTGCATCAATAGAGCGAGTATCTGATCCTGCTACGCATTTCAATTAGACAGCCAAGTGAAATGGCAAAATCTTCAAAGTAACAGGAGGAACAGTGCTTTTACCGAAAGCGCCAAAGAGTCTATTATATAGATGTTATTCTTAGCTGTGGAGAAATAAATGGCAATAAGCCTGAGAAAAACTATCTAATTCGAATGTTAGAGAGTGCTCAGCAAGGTTTGCAAAGTTACAGCTTTTATGGTACTATTTTTTATTTTTAATATAAGAGTTAGTTGATTAATTTGAGTATATTAAGATTGTTAAGTTAGTTATTTGTAATAAATAGATGTTATCTTTCTTAGAATACTTTTGTTAATTATGTGTATTAGTTATAACTACCATTTGATGGAATCTTTAACATGTGTAATTATTATAATGATTGTTTTGTAAAAAAAAAAAAGTGAGACAAAGTTGATTGATGATTTATATTTAAGGTTAAATTAAAAGTCAAACTAGTTTTTATACGAAGAATCAGGTAGTATATCATAAAGATTCTAGCAGTGGAGAAATGGGTTAGTAAATTATTTAATGCAAAATATTTGAGTTTAATGCAAAATATATTAGAGGAGAGTGCCCAGTGCGGTCTACAAAATTGCAGCATTTTTACGTAACAATCTTAGAATCGCAGTCCTAATCAAGGGCCTCGTGAGGTGCCGTGGCACGATGCCAGAGTGTCCTCTCATCGTAATGATTGAGGCAATGCCACTTCAAGTAGGTACACGCCTGTCGTGCCTTCTTGAGGGAGTCTTTTCCGATGCCACATGTTGTAGATCTCTGTGATGACCATTCGTCTTAGAGTCTTCTTATGGACGATGCATTAAAACGTGTTGTTGCAATGAATTTATGAACTTATATTAAGCTGATGCCCTCCCATTTGCTTTATATTTACCACGAAAATGTTAAGGTTCTAAATTCTATGGTCAAAGTAACTGTAACATTACCTTTCATAGCCCGTCATCTTGCTTAATCAGTGGGAAAGTGAGGCCAAAGGGGAGAAGGGGGATTCGGAGGGTCAGGGTATTGACTAGTTGATACTAGCTGATTAAGCATGTTCTAAATTTAATGATTGAATTTCTATTTCTAATGGGACGAAACTTATGTGAAAATCTTGCGGCATTTGCTGTTTAAGTTGTCCGATAGAGTTATTATTATGTGAAAGAATTGATCATGTATTGAGTTGTATAAAATGTCCAATGATCTGCTTTTATTAAACAATTTCACGACACAGCATGTTTACCTTCTTGTTTATGGCATCCGTGATTCGGTCATAATTCAGCTGGTGTAGCAATGAACTCTGACTAGATATTTGAGAGGGAATATAAGAGAGAGAGCGAGGAAGAGAAGGAGGAGACAAAACTTGGTTATAATTAACTAAAAATATTCTGATGTCCAAATCTTGCTCTTTACAATAATGAATCATCCAAAGGAGATAGAACAACTCTATTTCCGAAGTTTTTCATCATTAATATTTTGAAAGCAGTTCTCTTTTTAATGTCAACAACTAATTTAACTCACAAGCTTAAGTTGTTAATAGAGGTCCGTGAATAGTTTTATTCCTCTTGCGATTCTTTTTAGATTAAAGCTCTGTGTACTGGAAGTTTGGGTGGCAGGTGTGTTACTAGCTAAGGTGTGTGGAGAACAAGAAGGAATGAACTTCTGAGGATTTGGTCATTTAAAGGTTCTGATATTAACTTTATGCTAAGGACCAATTCAACTTAACGATTAAGCTGATAAGTGAGGGTGCGTACATAGTTTAGTTACAAAATCTGACGTCTAAGAAATGCTAGAATCTTGCATCTAATTAAAACGGCTTATTGGGTGGTATGGGGAGGATATACCTTATCATTTGTTGTGCAAACAAAATTAGAGCAATTTCAGACATAAGCCTTATGATAATGTTTTGTGCGTATTTAGGAAGACCTGGTTAGAAATGTCCTAGAAATATATACTTTATCGCGTTAGGTTGCATTAGACTTTTAAGTCTGATTCAGTGTTGGATAGTGTTCGCCTATCTTAAATTAAAACTACTTGTACTATATTCTTTATTTGATCATCCTAGTCCATCAGTTGCTATCTTCTTTGATGTCACCTTCTTA